ATATAAACTTTCACGTTCATAATACCTATAAGTAGGATGATATATAACTGAGAATGATATATTATAAACTGAGAGTAAATCATGCTAACATGAACATTAATACACAGAAGCGATCATTAATGTGCATATTTCCGGAATAATCCCAAAATCTCTGAAAAATCATTCAGACGACTTTTTCACAAACAGTTATATATATATTATTATAATACCTGAGACGAGAACAAGAACTATACACCTAGTATTCATTAAAGTGAAGCGAGGGCAGATCTACTGTCTTAAATAAGAAAAACGAAATATCACTCATTTATTCTTCGAATAAATGAAAATCGGTAGTTTTACTGATAAACTCATAACTTTATTATTTTACGCACTCGTATGAGTAAACCTTTTTTTTGTCTGGAAAATGCCTTACGCCTTCTTCAACCACCGGGGAAGCGTGAAGAAGGTATGTGGGACTCCCCCCTGTTCATTTCAGCCAGCCCTTGGGCCAGGTGAAATGAGCAGAACGCTATCAAACGCCCTAAACAGGGCCACTAAACCAGACAATACTCCTGCACCAGTCACCCGGCGTACAGTCTGAGGACCACAGTCCCCGCAATGAACGCCGGGAGTGCGAGTGTGATCGCGGCAACCATTGCCGACTGTCCGCAACCCGCAAGATGATTGTCCGGAAACGGACCGGACGACGAAGATGCTCCGAAGTATTAGGGGCATTAGCATCCACAGAGCTTGTGCAATGCGGGTCCGTCCCCCCCAGGGCAGACCCGCGGCTCTCGTAGGAGTGGGAGGGAGAGCATTTACAATCAATCAGATTAAAATCAATGTGGGTGATGCTCCTACCTACCCTGGTCCTGAAAAGGACCGTTTAACGTACGAGTTAACCTACCGAGAAAACTTGGTGGTATTTCTATGATACAAATTTAAGCACCTCGTTCCTTTTACCGTATTTTACTTTTTTATGAAACTTTAATTCTAATTACAATAAAAAAAAAATATCTTTGCTAATATTTTAGTTCTTACAAGAACAGATTTTTTAGGAACTTAGCAAACCGAACACGATCGACGTACGAGCCTTAACTACACACAAGATTTAACAGATATCTATTTCTTAAAATTACTATCACCGATGATTGCAGATCCTCACACAAATGCCTTGTCACGCCTCTTTTAAAGGAGCCCAGATTGTGGGAAGGTAAATAATACCACTTGCGAAAAGTACGACAAAGAAATGAGTCACCTAATTTCTTTATTCATGCAGAAATCGTTATCACAGTAAAGCCGGAGGCGAAGTAGGTCAGTGTGCGTGGTCCTGGGAAGGAAAGGGGAATGTGAGATAAGGGAGAATAATCATCAGAACACTCGCCATGCTTTAGTCGAGAGAAAGTGTTTAATGATGCTTCATCGCGGCGTAAACCTTGGTTTCTATCCGTCCAGCCGCTGCGTGTCCAAAATTATCCCGCATGCAATGAATATTCCCAAGAGGAATTAAATCATTGATGTGCAGCAAAAAGAGTGCGAGGGTTTAGATGGAGGAACCTGAGCTACACCGGCATTCACTGACATAAACTGCGAATTACATCCGCGAATTCGCCGCACATGCAGGAAGTCAGTCACAAGAAAATAAAGAAGCTTAGAAAGAAGACTTTTGTGCTTGACCTTGTCGAAAAACTTGGCATTATTAATTATCAAGGCTGACAGCCAAAGACTAGCGCTTGTGAATAGCCTCATCTCAGATGTGTGTCACATAGGCTCATAGTTTCTGCCTAAATCCGTATTGACGAACATTAATGAGGGAGTAGTCCTCTAGGTAGGGGGCCTGTCAATGACAAACGATATTTGGAAAGATAGATTAATATGGAAGATATTGGGAACTAAAGAAGCGGGGCGTCGCTGATGTGACTTTGCCCACATCTATATAGTCCACGCTATTCCACTGATTACATCTTTGAGGCATTGGCGTAGTTAGCGTGGAGGAGGGGCCGGGGAGAGCAAGGATGCCTATCCTAAGGCAGAAAAATATCTAGCTTCATTGAGGACTGCAAAGCTCCAGAAAATCTCAAATCATAAAAACATCCAATAGCCATAGGCAGAGTTCGCCCTAACAGTCAAATGTCATAAAATTTAGGAGATGTAACGGTATGAAATTTAAGTTGTGATTAATCGACTTATTCTTCACTGCAATTGGGTGACAGGAGAGCGTGGGTGATGCAAACCCGATTCGCCCACCACACCTTTTATAGACAAGCCTGACGGGCCTTGCGCAGCCCACGTTGGCACTGCCTCATGCAATACAGTTGCCAATCTAGGCAATTCAGTGTTTGTCTGCCGCGAAATTGTTGTCATAAAATTTATTCAACAGGAAAAATAATCGTTAATTGTACATAACACATCTACGTTCATAAGTCACCGTTTCTGTTGAAAACGTATCTCTATATGTATTTAAAACAACTCGACCTTCGCGGTCACAGATTGACCTAATTTAATTCTGTTGTACTTAGGTAAGATATTATTTTTCTCCTTATGAGTAATTATACACTTTTCAGCTTGTTTGTCACTCAATCACTTCGACTTTTTCGTAGTTCTTTGACAGAAAAAGTGAAAAGTAAAACCATTGTTTTAAAATATGGTAGGCTAGTTAGAACTTAATACTCTATTGTTGGTTACGAGTTATGACTATCATCCCTCTTTTACCACATAGCATAGGATTATTAGCAACGAATTTTTATATAGCATTATCTCTGTAGAACAATGGTTCCCAACCAGTGGTCCGTAGAAGCCAAAATATGGTCCGCGAATGAATTTGAATTAAGTGGGCGCGCCCGCTAAAAATGTTATTATTTCTTTTTATTTAATTTCATATTAGGTACTTTTTTAATTAAAGTTTCAGTTTGATTATTACAGTTTATTTTTATTACACTAAAATTCAGTTATTTAGTGACTTAATAGTGGTCCATGCCAACAAAAAAAATGTAAAAGTGGTCCCTGACCAATAAAACGTTGGGAACCCCTGCTCTAGAACTACTTCATATACCTACTTGTTTGTAGCTACGAAATTTTTGCAAGAGAACCAGTCCATTAACAACATTTCTTTCAACTTATGTAGTTGTAATTTGTATTATTGTAGTTTTTATTTATATTAGACTAGCAAACCCCGCGAACTCTGTTTCGCCACCAGATGGCTTCGTTTTATGTAACATTTCGTTTGGTGATTAAAAGAAGTTTTTTTTTTAATTTTTCCTGAATTTTCTTTGCTATAAACCTCACGGAGCCCGAGACCTTTCCAACGAATGCAAAACCGTGGAAATCGGTTCGTGCGTTCTGGAGTTATAGCGTCAGGAAGGAAAACCCGACTTATTTTTATATAGTAGATATAAACTCTTTTTTTTTTGCAAGTTTATCATAACAATAACTTCCGTAAAGAGGTATCATAGAAACCTATATAGCTGTAAACTGTATACCATTATCAAGTAAAAAGTGAAATACTTACATAGTGCGTTACTTTTCCGGTACGTGCTTCAGGAACTAAGTAACTAAGAAAAATTTACAGATTATTACGCGGTTTAAATTGTTTATAATGAGGAACTAAAAGTTGACAATAATTTATTTACGAAAAAAAAATCTGTCGTTCTATACTTTGTAGTAAATTGCAGTTCCTTACAAATTAAACATCCGTTTTGTTTATCTCTTGCTCTTAAAATATTTATGTAGTTTTATTCTAGTTCATTTAATTTTTAACATTTATTACCTACTAGATCTAAAGAAAATTCCACACATCCAGGCAGGGATGCCTGGGCCGCTGGATTTATAAACCTAGCAGTTAAATGTTTAAAATAAAAAAACACATAGGTTTTTAACTAGGTATTCTTTATGTCCTGAACTCAGTATTTTTTGATTTTAATCTAAATTTAAAAAGTCGACCAATGGGCGCTGAATACAGAACACAGAAACTGATAACCTCGCTCCACCCTGATCAATCCTTTCGGCCAGTGCTGCCAGAATGCTTGTCTCCTTCTCATGACAAATGAAACGAGCCCATACTCGATCAAGTTGCGTTTTGAGCACTAAGCAAGTATTTTGAGTGCCATGCTTGAGCACCTTCCGTCTCCATCATTATATTACCTCGATGGTATCATAATATTGTATTGTCTTGTCATTGACACTGGCAGGCAAAGACATTAGGTATTTGGTAATACAAAACATTGAAAGTAAAATAAAAGCTCGTAATAATATAACGATAACCTATGCATGTAGCTAAACAGGTGCTTCAGTTCAAGCGATAAGTCCGCTATAATCATGGATTTACCATAGCTGGGGGTTAATCGCCTAACGGAATTGCTATCGCTATCGCTTAGGATTTCATATTGTTATTTCTGACCACCGAAAGTGTTCAAATACCTTACGCTCAATTTTTTCAATATTGTTGTTATATATACAAAAAAAAAGAGTGCGGGGCATTTTTCATTTAATAGTCTTAAACCTTACCAAGGGGTAAGATGGGGGGGGGGGGGGGAGGGGATCAAAAAACACTCCAAAAAAAACCTCACGTGGACGGCCCCTTAGGCGAATGGCGAATATCTAAAAAATATTCCTTGTACAGATTTCCTGAAATAAATTTAAAATGAATAATATTTTCAAATCTATGGTTTTAAGTTACTGCTAACGCCATCTTCCTTAAGTAACTGTTAACATTCACATTCATCGCAAGCAATACTAACGTAATAATAGCAAGCACTGTGCTTTTTTTTTATTTATTCGTGACCTGGATACAGAGAGCACTATGCTTAAGTACACAGTGTCGCCATCTAGACTTTCGATAAAAAATCAACAAGCATCTTTGGTCTCGTGCTAACACTAGAAGAGGGCACTAGTTGTTTAAAATGTCGATAATGGAAGCGTGCGCGAGACGACCGACTCCACTGCACTGCGCAATCAACAAGCACGGAAATAACTAAACAGCTGTTCTACAATATTCGGTCGGGCAACTCTGCCATTCGAAGCAGCAGTAAGCAGCCGTATGATCTTGATCTCGCCAGCCGTTTTCCTTGGAGTCGCGATTGTTTGGACGGTTGCTTTCTCATTGTTGTAACATTCACCGTGTAGTTCAGACAATTCTTTATAAATTTGTAATTTTTACCGTATATTACTGCCACGGTATTGACGGTCTAAAAGTGAGTGAATTACTGTGAGCTACGTTGGTGCTATGTTTACCAAAATTTATCGTTGGTATTGTGACTGGTGACTAAGTTGAAATGTTTCGTGAATACGTGGACCACGAGGAGATTTCCGCTGTGTAATGTTTATAGAATCTCAAAGAATTTGTGATTTTAGTTGTATTGTAGGTAAAAAATAACTAATTGACAATGTCTAGCACAGTTCCAACAAGTTCTGCGCTGAGGGCTTTGGCCCTAGAGTACAAAAGTCTCCAGGAGGAGCCTGTGGAAGGTTTTAGAGTGAAATTATTAGGTGAAGACAATTTATTTGAGTGGGAAGTAGCTATATTTGGACCCCCAGATACATTATATCAAGGAGGATACTTCAAGGTAAGCTGAAAACGTAATAATGACCTGGTTAATACAAATCATTTTTTGTTACAACAATTCAAAGAATAACAAACACTGGCTGACTTTGAAACTTATTTTAGCAAAAACACTATAACAACAGCTTTTTGCACCATCCACTGCAAACGAAACAGTTGCTATAGCTTTGTCTGTGAAGTGACTTAGCTCCAATCCCTTCTAAATAGGAACACTGTGGGAGACATGCATGCACAGAAAAACTAAATACTTTAATAGGTTTAGGCATTTATGTTGTTTTTTTTCACTGTTGATAAGGTAATTTATCAATTTGCTATAGAAATTGAACACAACAAAAGAAAAAAAACGGATAATTTTGTAAAATTATATGCTAGGAAAAAAGGTAATCTTCTACTTCCTTCTTACTTAAGTGCACAACTACATCTTAAATCAACTACCTACATCATACATCTTCTGTTTGGAAATTTTATTATAAATCTAAAGTAAATAAGTAGGATCAACAAAGAAGAACAACAAGTAGGCAACTTTTAAGTATAATTAATTCTAATGTTTTTATCAAAATTATTTTAGTTAAATTTGTTTTCCTCTTTCTGTGGTTTATGAATAAGTTAATAAACTGGGTGGTGTTATTCTTTTGATTGATTATTTAATAAATATTATTGCTTCAATTTTTCCCATTGATATATACAGTAATTTGCAAATGAAGCAACATTAAAATTTATCTCTTCCTAAAAGTCTATTGTTAATGTAGTTTTGAAACTTGGTTACGGTAGTGACTATACTTCTTTAGTAGGCCGTAATATACAAAAATAAAATACTTTTATAGTTTATTAATTGAAGGTAGGTATTTGTAAATTTATTATCCAAGTTTATTTTCTGAATCTGACGGCTGTAAATGTATTCTCACAAAATTAATTTTATCTTATATTTATGTTAATACACTTCTGGACACAACTATTGGCCCACCTTAGAGTTTAGGTTTCGATGGCCCCTACCGAAATATGATTGCTAGATTGAACAAAAACTGTTGATGCAGTTTTAAACCTGATACATTTTACCATCTTTTTCGATTGTATTGTTTTAAATTTGAATTCAGAATACCATACGACATGGAGCTACGCCTAACAAGTCGGATATGCGCCTTGTTAAAGGCAATTAATTTTTGAATAAAAAACATGTTTTATCAAATAAAGGTTTAATTTAATAACGCGTGTTGCCTCCATGGGCATCTACCACAGCTCTCATATGATCAGGCATAGAGTTTATCAACCGCTCTATGAAATTTCGAGGGGTCATCTCCCATTCCTCTTCTATGGCAGTTTTCAACTCCTGCATCGTCTGGGCAACTGGCTGACGAGCCCTAACACGTCTTTTTAGCTCGTCCCACATGTGCTCAATGGGGTTCATGTCTCGGGCTTCTGGCTGGCCAGTCCATAACTGTGATGTTCACATCCCGAAGATATTCCCTGACGATGCCGGCCGCATGGGCTCTTGCATTATCATGCATAAAAAGGAAATTTGGGCCCACATAGTCCGCGTATGGTATCACGTGAGGTTCTAAGCACTCACGAATGTACCTTTCAGCATTTAATGTTGGCAGCCGTGGTCCTGTAACAACCTCAAGTTGAGTTTTGCCGCTCGCGGATATACCGCCCCAGACAGTCCATGAGCCACCGCCATAAGCAACCCTCTCTTCAAAGCAGCATTGTATTTGACGACCTCCGTGGTCGAGTGGTTCGTACGCCGGGTTTCATGGTGTCGCCGACTCGAGAGGTCCCCGGGTTCGAATCCCGGTGGGGGCAGATGTTTGTGTGATGAATACGAGCATTTGTACTCCAGTCATGGTTGTTTAATATGTATAATAAAAAATAAATAAAAATAGCCTTTATTCTCTGATATAGTTATTATACTACTTGCTAACTAGCCGTATTACTAATTTCCTATTGCTACAATTTGATTTAATTTTACAATGCTTTACTTACTAATAAAAGAAAATTGGTACACCAGCACTATTTTAATCAGGTTGTCCTCCTCGGACATAGGCCTCCTCTAGAATTTTCCATTTTATCCGATCTCTTGCTAATCTGCGCCATCCTTGTGGTAGGTCATCCTCCCATCTTCTCTGTGGCCGCCCTCTTGTCCTCCTCCCATCTCTGGGGTACCAAGATACGACCTCTTTGGTCCATTTTTCTTTGGGGGATCTGATCACATGTCCAATCCAACGCCATTTAAGTCTCCTTATTTTCTTGGAAACATCTGCCACACCTGTGATTTTTCTAATTCTGCTCAGTCTCCACTTGTCTTTCAAACGGATGTGCAGCATGCTTCTCTCTATCCCCTGCTGACATACCTTGAGTTTTTGACTGTGCGCCTTTGTCAGGCCCCAAGTTTGACACCCGTAGGTAAGTATTGGTAGGATGCACATGTTGAATACTTTACTTTTTGATTGGCATTGGAGTGTTCTTATTCTTCAATATTTCCTTCAGCGACCAGTAACGAGCCCAGGTGTTGTTTACTCGTGTTTAATATGTATTTCTATATAAATATACTTATATATGTACAGTATATGTATTCTATCTGTTACCCTAGCATCCCATAACACAAGCCTTACAGTGCTTACTTTGGGGCTAGGCTAATTGGTGTGAGTGTTGGAAATATTTATTTATTATTTATTATTGTGCGAAACGCTCTCCCTTACATCAGTAGACCTTCTTCCTTCCATCATTGCCATGTAACACAATTTTAGACTCATCAGAAAAGAGTACACGGTTCCAATCTTGCTGTGTCCAATTTAAATGACTGCGTGCGAAATGAAGGCGCGCTGTTCGGTGGGCTCGCGTTAGTTTGGGCCCATTAGCTGGCTTGTGTGGTACCATATCGCGTTCTTTTAACCTTCTCCGAACAGTTTGAGCGCTCACAGATACTCCGTGGAAGTCGCGAATTTTTTTTTGTATCTCAATGGAGGTAAGGTGACGATTTCTCAAGCTGGTCGTCACTAGAGATGGAAAAAACGGCTTATTTCTTAAAAGCGTTTAAATGTTGTACTTTTTAAAATAAGCGCGCTTGAAAAAAAGCTTTTTCGTTTAAACGCTTATTGGCTTAAACGTTTAAAAGCATGCGTAAAAAGCGCGACGTTGTGTTGTGTTTTCGTTTAGGTATATCGTTTAAAAAAGCGTGAAAGTTTATTGTCGTTTCGTTTAAACGCTTATTGGCTTAAACGTTTAAAAGCATGCGTAAAAAGCGCGACGTTGTGTTGTGTTTTCGTTTAGGTATATCGTTTAAAAAAGCGTGAAAAGTTTATTGTCGTTTTTAATGTGTTTAAGTGTTTTATTGCGTTTTTTCTTCTTATTAATGAAATTTTTATTAAAATTTTTTTTTAAACCTAATGAATTGATTGGCATTAAAAACGAAAGATTTTCAATTGAATTTAGATTTTATAATAAACATTTTTATAATAGTCAATGAACTTTCCTTCATACTTTACAAGCTTAGGACTGTCTGGAGTTAATATACTCGTGATCCAGGCGTACTTAAAAGTTCATTGATTTTATATACATACTTTTAACTATTTTATATGCACATTAAACCAATACACGAAACGCATTAACACGTCAAGCAAGCATGCAAAGACACCGTACAACACCCACGTGCTCTTACCCCGTCACAGTGACAAGCGTACTGCTTTTCGACTTCGTTTAATTAAACGCTTTTAACGAAAAAAGCGTTGGTTATCCGACCAAATTTTAAAAAAGTGCATTTTTTTACGTCGCATTATAATAATTCGCATTCTGTATTAACCGGCTCACGAAAGATGGCACGCCGACGCGGCGCTGTAGTCGCGCGTTCTATGTCTGTGATATTGTGAAGTTTAAGTGAAAAGCTTACTCACACTTTTTAAGTGATAAGCTTATAAAGCTTATACTTAAAAGCGTGCTTACAAGCTTAATATTTTAAGCGCGCTTATTTAAGCGCTTTTCGTTTAAATGCCCACCGCTAGTCGTCACGATGAATCGATCCTGCCTTTCAGTTGTGACCCGAGATCGTGGCCTTCCTTGGCGACGAACAAAGCCGCCAGTCTCTAGGTACCTCCGATAAACATTTCGGACCGCAGATCGACTTAAATTAAGTTGAGCACTCACGTTTCCTTGGCTGTGTCCGGCCTGAATAAGTGCCACTGCTTGGGCGGCGACTTCAGGTGAAGTATCCATAAATTATTAATAGAACCTCACCTTAATGTTAAGAATAAGTAATGTTTGCTGCAAAACCAAAGATATCAATCACTTTTTCAAGAATTAAATCCAAGTAAACCAATAAAACCAAGTTTTCTTAGTATTCAATTGTTTGATATCAACAAACAGGCTCCAAATTGTCTTTTGTTTCTTTAAAGACTATTGAATGAAATTGTGAATGTGCCAGGTTCAAAACTGCATAAAAACTTTTTGCTCGACCTAATATAAAATTTTAGCTAGGACCAAACGAAACTGAAAATACAAGGTGGGCCAATAGATGTGTCCAGAAGTGTACATAGGTAATCTCAATTGTTGATGACTATAATAATGAAAATTGCTGCTGTTTTATGAAACCTCTGTGCTAATGAAAACCATGATTTTTTGAAAAACAAAGTTCTTTCTCTCCTAGGAATTGGACCCGCACCTCCCACATGGCAGGCAAGCTTTCTACCACTGAGACAATGTAGCTTGTCTGAATTTTTGAATAACAATTAAAAATGAAATGTAACATGAAAAAGATGAATGAAAATTTGTGATGATGTAATAAAAGTTTCACTTTATTTTTTTATTTATCTAAGGAACACAAATAGCATATTGTACAAAATTTGGCTCTATCTATTCTTCCATACATGTAAATCTAGTAAGTACATACACAATTAACATGTGTCTACAACACATATAAATCTCTCTTTCTCTCTCTCTCTCACACACACAAAAACATTTACAGATTACAATTAATTAGCTAAAGTTTTACATAACGATAAAATTTATTCACTA